CTTAACCCCTACACCAGACTGGCTTTCTTGCATTTGCTATTACTGATCTTATTTATATGAGCTAATCCTTATTACATTTTTTCCCTAGTCAATTTTTAGTTTTTTCCCCCCTTTCGGCAAATATTAACATTGTGAAGATGAGTTTTGATCAGTTTCCTTTCCATAAACTTGTAACAGAGAAGAGAATCTCTGATTATCTTGCAACGTTCAGCCATCCTACTCCATCAGGCTCCACACCAGAGGCAATAGTAGCTATCAATCAACAATTCCTAAGTCACAAATTCTCCATTTTTTTTCCCCTCTGAAATTTAAATTGCAAAATGGGAAGGGCACCATCTTGCCCAAATGCATAAATTTCTGAACGCATGCAGGAAAATCTAAATCCAAGCTACCATTTCATTTCTCAGGATATATATTTTAGATTGTACTGAATAATCCATCGCAGGGCAAATAATTCTTTCTTGCCCAAATTTCTGTAATCAGAATATGTGTAAAACCTTCAGGGGAGAGTCTTTTGTGATTTGAAATGGGACTCCGAGATTCAGGGGCTGTTCCATGCTGCTTCTGTCTATGAACTGTTGGAAGATGTAACAGAATAAACAATAAACAATAAATAAGTCTATGGCACAAATATTGTATGTATAGCTAGTTTTATAGCTTAAACATTTTAAGCATCCAGGCTGCATTTCTTTTATCCATTTATTGAGAAGAAAGCCCAGTAAACCTATTTGGAAATAGAGTAGGCTGAAATTTAATTATTTTAAGAATGTTTAAATTACAGACCTTTTATAAACCTTTCTTCCCCAAATCTTGACAATAGCCTGTAATGAAGCATTAGAGCTGCTGGATTCTAAACAAGCAGACATTTCTGCTGTTGAAGATTTCTTTCCATTTCTCCCTGGCAGCGGGGATTTTTTTATATCTTAGTCCCTACTTAGAAAATAAATTCTGTAAAAAAAACCACAACTGGCCAGTTATAGCAGATTTCTAATAAAATGCCTTAAAAAGATTCACAAATAGTATATTTAATACTATTTTAATGGGATCTATTTTCAAGCATAATGGCTTATATTTGGATGTCACAATAAGCCCATTTTCCCAAGCTGTTTGAGATGACATTCCTAAAAAAAATCTTCAGTGGCTGGAAAAAAAAAGGGAGCTGAAGTCTAAATTTAATTTTCATGGCTTATTGTAGCATAAATGAGTCAAAGGGAGCTTTAGGTTTGAACATGCTCCCTTCCTGTGACTGGGGAAGGAATTTAGAAAATTTTGCTTCTACTATTGGTTGACCACAGCTTCCTCTATTGGCCAGATTAATTATGATTAGTTTAAGTTAACCAGCTTCAAAATTCTTTGAAGTTGCATTGTTTATTAATTGAAGATTGTTGCTTAAGGCACAGTGCAACTAATACTGAAGCAACTTTTTTTCTCCCTCAGCATGTGTAGGCAACCCTGAAGCTTCCTAGGGTCCATTCCACATCATAAAAAGTCAAGCTCTCAAAATACGAATTTCAAGCTGAACTGCTGTTATGCAGGGACCTCCTCATTCTAGATTGGAGTTATAGGGTTAGAAGTAAGAAGAACCATTTTTTGTGTGTGTGAGAAAAGGGCTAGAGAAGGCCATCAATAGATTTAAAGCATATGGACGTTATTAGTCATGATAATTAATTGGAGATTTGAATTTTGTTTAATAGAATGACATGATTTAAGGTATGATGTTATTTTTTTTAGCTTGAAGAGATAGATCAATTGATAGATTTGATAGGTACAGGATAGATTAATATTTTACTCTAAATAAGGGAGACTAATGGAAGAAGAAACAAATAAGATTTTGATAAAATTAAGAAAGTAAAACATATGTGGAAGGGGTATTTGAACTGAAAATGTTTTTATTTAAAGTTAATTTGATTATGGTAGAAATTGATGAAGCTTAAAAACAGGTTCAGATTGGACTGCATCTGGAATGGGAAGATAGGAGGAAGGGGAGAAGTAAGTAGGAAGGTTGAGGAGAAGGAGGAGAGGGGGAGAGTGAAGAAGAAGAGGGAAAGAGGGAAGTGAGAGAAGAGGTTAGAGGGTGGATGCAGTTTGGGGGGAAATGGGTGAGCAATACCGAAAGTTGTGTGTATAAATTTATTTTATTCTTTATCTGAAGTAATTTTTATGATGTAATGTAAAATTGAAAATAAATTTTTTTTTACAAAAAAAACAGGTTCAGGTTGAATACATTTAAGCTAGAATTGGATATTCTAAATATATTATGCTATTTGAGGGAAAAAGAGAGGGAATGTTTGATGTATTGATTATATTATGTATATATGTCTTGTTTTAAGATGTTTGGTTACCCCAACACCACGGTGTGTCCTGAATATGTTGCTTTAAGAACTTAAAAAACCAATACAATTTGTTTTTTTTTTTTAAAAAAAAAAATAGATTTAAAGCAAGTATGGAGTATCTTTGCGGTGGAAATACAGCTCCCAACATCTCTTACCATTGACCAAATTGCTCAGAATGGCTTGATACTGTAGTCTGGGAAACCACAACTTTCCTACCCCACCCCTCTAGGCCCCATAACAATTATAATTTCTTTGAAAAAAAAACATAGAACATAGAATAACAGTGTTGGTAGGGACCTTGGAGGCCTTTTATTCCAACCCTCTGCTCAAGCAGGAGACCCTGTGCCATTTCAGACAAATGCTTGTCCAGTCTCTTCTTAAAAACTTCCAGTGTTGGAGAATTCACGACTTCTGAAGGCAAGTCGTTCAACTGGTAGATTTTTCTCGCCTTTTAGAAAATTTCTCCTTAGTTTTAAGTTGCTTCTCTCCTTACTTAGTTTTCACCCATTGTTTCTTGTCTTGCCTTCTGATGCTTTGAAAAATAAGTTGACCCCTTCCTCTTTTGTGTGGCAGCCCCTCAGATATTGAAACACTATCATGTCTCCCCTAGTCGTTCTTTTCACTAGGCTTATTGTTGTTGTTGTTAGTTGCGAAGTCATGTCTGACCCATCGTGACCCCATGGATAATGTTCCTCCAGGCCTTCCTGTCCTCTACCATTTTCTGGAATCTAAGCTCATGCCAACTGCTTTAGTGACTCCATCCAGCCATCTCATTCTCTGTCGTCCCCTTCTTCTCTTGCCCTCCACCTTTCCCAGCATTAGGCTCTTCTCCAGTGAGTCCTTCCTTCTCATTAAGTGGCCAAAGTACTTGAGTTTCAACTTCAGGATCTGGCCTATCATACCCAATTCCTGCAACCATTCTTCCTATGTTTTAGCTTCCTCCAGCCCCCTAATCATCTTTGTCGCTCTTCTCTACACTCTTTCCAGAATCTCAACATCTTTTTTTTTTTTAAATATTGTGGTGACCAAAACTAGATGAACTCTTCCAGGTGTGGTCTTACTAAGGCTTTATAAAGCGGTACTAGTATTTCTTGTGATCTTGATTCTTGATTACTGACACTTAGTAATCAAAGTTCATAAGGCAAAGGTTCATAACTTCTGTTCTGTACTAAAATGGAATCTGTTTGTCAGTCCCTGTGAACGGGTTGAACACCTGAACCGTTTGTGAAGGATTAAGCATTCTATTCATCGTGAAGGAATGTTGGCATTTTTATAGTGTGAAAGACTGACGGAAGCTGAGAGGGTCAATCCTCCATATGTTTCACTTGATTGCTTCCCATCCTTTTCTGAGAGCATATTAGAAGCCACACTAGCAACTGACTTTTTGCAAACACCTTCTTGCCTTATCTGAATTATATAGCAAGGAGAGAAGATTATTACTAGGGACAATTATGCTGACCGGTACTGCACGCTGCTGTTTAACAAACAGCTTGGAGTTCTAATTTTCTGCAGTGCCAACTTTGTAGGTACCATTTGTACTCATTACAGTATATTGAGAAAGTTATTAAAAATTCTTAAACTTGTTGAAGCTTTTCTGTGACACCTTCCCTGGCTTTTAATTGGGTTTTATCGAGTCTTCGAAGAGAGCTCTTTTAAAATAATCAGTGTCCTTTGGTCTCTTTCTTTTGCCTATTTGCAAAAAGGAATTTAGCAACGGAGCTAAAAACAAAGCAGGTTTTACCTAAATATTGAATGAATTTGCTCGACAAGTGAAGAAGATAATTTATGTCTCTTTAGATGGATGCCCTGTTTAAATGACGCAGGAACAATTGCTTTGGAACAGAAGGGTTAAGTCTTAATCTCAGAGGTTTGCGAAGCTGCTAGTCGCAGTCTCCTTAAAATTTAATATACCTCGTTAATGCTTACTTGCAAACACTGAAGGATTTTTATGATTATAATCATGTGTTACAGCACCTAGTACTGTTTCTAAGTCGCATACTAATCAGCTTAATGAGATATTACCGCACTTTTTGTTGACTAAAGCAAAATCCTTTTTATTGTTCGAAAGCTTGTCCTTTACTTTATTTTTTCCCCAAACATTATCTTGTTTTATTGTGTACCAGTAAATATCATGCGATCTATCCACCCAACAACCCCCCCCATAACACCAATCAAATCATAAAACCATCTTTCTCATTGGAGAATGTGGAATTTATTGAATAGACTTAATGGGACTGAAAGTTTCATAAATGGATTTCTATTTTTGTTTCTTTAAAAGAGGCAGTGAGCAAGAGGCATCACCGTTCTCTTTTGTGTAGATGGGCAAATGTAGACAGGTGTGGTATCCCAAAGAAAGGGGGCTGGTGACACTGAAAGCTTAATGCGACTTATTTAAGAACCAGCTACTCAGAAGGATAATGCGTTCATTTTAGAAGCCTAATTAATCCATGCAATCAAAAAAAGTATGCGGGATGATGAAGTCCTCGTATAATTAAGACAAAACAATTGCAATAGTGCACCATGCACTTGACATTTAATATACGTTTATTGAGTTTTGACTGCAGGAATGTCACATATGGTTTTCATGCTTTCATAGATCCGCTGATGAAACCACTCTACTTGAAAATCTAAACTTTCCCTTCCTTTTTTTTTTTTTTTTTTTTGCAGGAATGGAGGAAGCTAGTCTGTGTCTTGGTGTTTCTTCAGCGGGACCAGAAGCTGAGGCCCACCTCAACAGCTCCCTACTCAATGGCCAGTATTCAATGAGTCAGAAGTTGCACCAGATCACCTCCCAGCTCAGTCATGCCTTCCCTGAACTTCAGACCAGACAGAACCCTGAGGACAAGGCGGTGGCACTTCTAGAAGACAAGAGCCACGTTTCCTTAGCCAACCAGCCTATCAGCAGTCAGATGGCCCTTCTGGCCAATCAACTCAACCGGGAGGTCGATACCAGTTTAAACGGGAGGGTAGATCTACAGCAGTTCTTAAATGGACAAAACCTAGGCATCATGTCTCAGATGAGTGACATAGAGGACGATGCTAGAAAGAACAGGAAATACCCATGTCCCCTGTGCGGGAAGCGCTTCCGGTTTAACAGCATCCTGTCACTACACATGCGCACCCATACTGGGGAGAAACCCTTTAAGTGCCCCTATTGTGACCACAGAGCAGCTCAGAAGGGAAACTTGAAGATACACCTGCGTACTCACAAGCTTGGAAACCTGGGCAAAGGCCGTGGACGGGTCCGAGAAGAAAACCGGCTGCTGCATGAGTTGGAAGAACGGGCTATCCTGAGGGACAAGCAGATGAAAAGCAGTCTTCTGCAACCCAGGCCTGATGTCAAAGCCCACTCTCATGCTCAGCCTGTCCCTCTGGCTAATTGCAACGTACCCATGCCCACAAACCACAACACCCCTGATATTTCTAACTCTGTTCCCTCTCCAAAACCTGCCAGCATCCAGGAAGAAGTGGTTGTCACGGCTGCTGGGTTTAGATGTACTTTTTGCAAAGGGAAGTTCAAGAAGCGGGAAGAGCTGGACCGGCACATCCGGATCCTCCACAAGCCTTACAAGTGTACGTTGTGTGACTTTGCGGCATCCCAGGAGGAGGAGCTGATCAGCCACGTGGAAAAAGCTCACATCACTGCCGAGTCTGCTCAGGGCCAGGGTTCCAATGGAAACGGGGAGCAGGCGGCCAACGAATTCCGTTGTGAAGTGTGCGGCCAGGTCTTCAGCCAAGCCTGGTTCCTGAAAGGCCACATGAGGAAGCACAAGGACTCCTTTGAGCACTGTTGCCAAATCTGTGGGAGGCGCTTCAAGGAGCCGTGGTTCCTCAAGAACCACATGAAAGTCCACCTGAATAAATTGTCGGTGAAGAACAAATCCCCCGGTGACTCAGAAGCCCCTGTGCCTGTGGGAAGCATGTCCCAGGAAGCCCATGCCAACTTGTACTCCAGATACTTGTCCTGTTTGCAGAGTGGTTTCCTGCCCCCAGACAAAGCTGGCCTCGGTGAGCAGAACCATGCCTATAGTAAAGGGGATTTGCCCATGAAAGAGCGTGAAGTCCTGGGCAAACTCCTGTCTCCTATGGCTACCATCGGACATAGTCTTGCTGAAGGGGACAAACATTCCTTATTGGGCTGTCTAAACCTTGTGCCTCCACTCAAATCGAGCTGCAGAGAGAGGCTGCAGGCTGCTGCCAAAGCTGCTGAGATGGACCCTGTAAACAGCTACCAAGCTTGGCAGCTCATGGCAAGGGGAATGGCCATGGAGCATGGTTTCCTGTCGAAAGAGCACCAGATTCAGCGGAGCCACGAAGACCCTTTGGCAAACGCTGGAGTTCTGTTTGATAAGGAGAAGCGGGAGTATGTGTTAGTAGGAGCAGATGGTTCCAAGCAGAAAATGCCTGCTGATTTGCTTCACAGCACTAAAATGGGCAATCAGAGAGACTTGTCAAACAAACTGGACCCTTTGGAAGGGAGCAGAGATTTCCTGTCTCACGGTATGAATCCAGGGCTCGAGTACAATATGCAGAGTCACGGCGGGGCAAAAGAGAAGCCCACCGAGTGTCCTGACTGCGGGCGAGTTTTCAGAACCTACCACCAAGTGGTGGTTCATTCCAGAGTCCACAAGAGGGACAGGAAAGTCGAAGATGAGATCCTCCAGGGGAACATCGATGAGCGCCGTGGGTCTGGAAGTGACCAGGAATCCCAGTCAGTCAGCCGATCAACCACACCTGGCTCCTCCAACATTACTGAGGAAAGTGGGATGGGCGGAGGCCTCTCGCAGACAGGAAGTGCTCAGGAAGACAGTCCCCATCCATCTTCTCCTTCTTCCTCAGGTAGGTCCATTTTCAGTGTTGTGTCTCCTCTTTGAAGGGGTCCAAAACTGCACCCATTGCAGACAACCAACTCATTGAACAACCACTACGTTGACTTAATGACCAGTGATTTAAATTCATGCACGGTGAGGTGGTAATTCCAGATTAAGTTATGGCCATAAGATGAGGACTTCCTGCATTATATTGCTTTTATATTACTGTCCTAATGTGGACAAATGCAAATCTATCTGGATGGTCTGTCTATACCAGGGGTAGGCAACCTTGGCTCTTTTATGACTTGTGGCTGCCTCATGAATTCTGAGAAGTCCACGAGTCATAAAAGAACCAAGGTTGCCTACCCCTGGTCTATATGGAGTAATTTCTCTTCTTTTAGCCTCAGCAACCACATTTTACTCTTGTTTCTGTTTTGATAAATCCTTCTATCATGAGATACAATTTATTTATACGGCCAAATGTGGGATACCTTTAAGGACCTGAGCCCCAAATTCTGAACACACAGAGACTAAGAATGATAGGAAGGATCCAGTAGAAATGAATCGACTTCCCATGGATGATTCTTGTCTTCTGCAATCATTTTAAACCTCATAAAATCATGTTTTAAAAATATCCCATTGGTTTTAGCGTCAACTCGCTGTGCACAAAAGAGCAAAGCAAAATAATATTTCATTTAAGCCTTCTACAATATTGAGCCTTATTGGCAAATATATATATATATATATATATATATATATATATATATATATATATTTACCTTTAAAAATAAAGATAAGATTTCTGGCCTCATCTCTCATTTCTAGACCCTTGAACTAATGGATAGTAAATTGAAAGTTATATCTCCAGCCCTTTTTATAACAAAAGCACCTCGCTAATATTGTAATCATTCTGCAGACCTAACAATGGAGGAAATCATTGCCATAACAAATACTCTGTTACTAATGGCAACATTGATTTCTGCAATCAGCCATTAAGTCTAGAAAATGAAAGACAGTTCAAGAGACCTTTAGGCATTACATTGCCCACTGTTAAAGATCTGATAGCAGTCTGTTCTTTTTTTTTTTTTTTTGGTGCTCACCCCCTCCCTGGCTTTCAATAAATATTTTAACATTGAAGGCAATCCACTGTTACAGTTATTAAGTAGATGCCAGTTTATTTTTGCCGCTCTTGTCATGCTCCAGTATGCTCCATTTCTGAGACCAGATTTATATAAAAGAGTTAGTTTGGAGAGGTGGCTTATAATAAATCTGTAAGCTTCCCCCCCCCACTTCTTAAGACCTATAAATCTGTCCTCTGCATTCCACAGATTCCTATAGAGATTAACACTGTTGTTTAAATACCCAGGAAATCCTCCGACACCTCTTAGAATTCAGACCTCATGTATACAATATATTTGTCATCAAAGACATACAGAAATCCTATAAGAAATGGGAAGACTGATTTTTATACCATCTAGTTGCTTGGATTGTTTTAAGGGGATTCAAAATCCAATAGGAAAACATAAAAGGTTTCGTCTGCCATGCAAAGAGCATTTGCCCATGTTTTGAACATATGCTGTCCCTTTTGGAGCACCAGTGCCCCAGAAGTTGGCCAAAGAGGATCAGGACATGCTTTAGAGCAGTTTATCTCCACCTGAGCAACAATAGGATAGGATAGGGTAGGATAGGATAGGGTAGGGTAGGGTATGGTAGGGTAAGGTAGAGTAGAGTAGAGTAGAGTAGAGTAGAGTAGAGTAGAGTAGAGTAGAGTAGAGTAGAGTAGAGTAGAGTAGAATAGAATAGAATAGAATAGAATAGAATAGAATAGAATAGAATAGTTGGAAGGGACCTTAGAGGTCTTCTAATCCAACCCCTGCTCAGGCAGGAAACCTTATACCATTTCAGAGAAATAGTTGTCCAATCTCTTCTTAAAAACTTCAATTGTTGGAGCATTCACAACTTCTGGAGGCAAGTCGTTCCACTGGTAATTTGTTCTAACTGAAAGGAAATTTCTTCTTAGTTCCAGGTTGCTTTAAGAAGTGTGGACTGAAACTCCCAGTCTGATTGGGGAATTCTGGGAGTTTCAGTCCAGACTTTAATAGAATAAAAAAGTTAGAAGGGACCTTGGAGGTCTTTTAGTCCAATCCCCTCTCAAGCAGGAGACCCTATACAATTCCAGACAAATGGTTGTCCAATATTGTCTTAAAAAACCCCGGTGTTGGAAGAATGGAGCTCTTTAAAGCTGCCAAGGTTGAGAAACACTGCTTTGGAAGAAGTAAGAAAAACAAACAAACATAGCCTTTGACTATTGTTATTTGACTTTTTTAATGAAGAAAATACAAATGCCCTCTCAGAATCTCAGCGTTTTCTTGACTCTGCTCAAAGAGACCCTTGAAATTTGTCTAATTTGATTATAGGCTCAAAAATGGCTTTTTAGGGTAGAAGGAAATTCATTTTACTTCCTCTGTTCCTTTCTGATTTAATCTGGATCAGAACAATATATAGTTTTGACCATCAAAAATACCAATCAAATACATTTCTATTCCCCCACTCCCCGTAACTATCAGGCCTTTGAGATAGTCCAGATAAGAAGCACCAACCATGAGTACTAACTCTACCTTCATTGTAAGGTTTCTCCAACCTCACCCCTCTTTGGGACTCAGCTGTAATTTATCAGAGCTATGTCTAGGTTGGGTTCTTCCTCCTGTCTCCCAAGGTCATTCTCTCACACCATTACAGTAACTCAGGGATGGGCAGCTGTGCTTGACAGATGTTTTCAATCTCCAATTTCCATTATTCTTTGCCAGTGGTGAGAGGTTGCCACAGCAGATGCCTTTAGATGTTGTCCACTGCTGGGTAAACCATAGATACCTGGGCCACAGCAGTTTCCTGGCTAAATTAATGGTCTGTCCATCTATGAAATTACTTGTTGGCGACACAGGCCAAACACAGTCTCCAGATACAGAGAGAAGAAAATGATAGTATTTTTCTTTACTAAACCTCTCATCTTTGAACTTGCTTGGCCTTTTTCAAAACTGGCCAAGTCCACAGCTTTCTGAGCCTGCAGTCCAGTGATCAGGAATTCCATGATGCAAAGTTCCTAACCATACGTGAAAACCATTCATGCACCTTTAATCTTCTTTCATCTTAGGGAATTTGGAGATTATTTTGCCCTTTAATTTCCCTTTATTTAAAACAAAACAAAACAAAAAAACAGCTGCATTTGTGAACCTTAATCAATTTATGAGACTTACTGATTATAAAGATGGAAGACCAGAAAGTTGAGCAACATTTATCTCGTACTTGTAAACTTATGTACTGGATTTAGTTTCCACTCATGTCAATTGGATGAATAATTTCTAATTGTTTTCCTTGTAGCCTCTGAATAGAAATGTAGCATCTGTACAATAAGCCATGTCATAGATGCAGAATACCGAAGTTTCAACTTTTTTCCTGCATTCAATAACATGCTTTTATATTTAACCTGGTTGTCTTCAGTAATATTTCTTAGTCCGCTATAAAATTCTCAAGAAACACTTTTAAATTGTTGCGAAATGATTGCTACCTGTGGAAGATAAATCAGCAGAATACAAAAGAAGCTTTTATTCCCAAAGTTAAAGGGAAATAGCCATTGAGACAGACATTAAAACATTACTACAAAAATACGGTTAACCAATTTCTAAGCCCACAACAGGTCTCAGAACTTAATTTGCATCACTTGATTCCTTTTTTTTGTGCAGTTGTTGTTGCAAACTGGGTCAGAGGGCCTGAGAAACTATTCTTTTTCAGATCTTAACCGAGCGATTCTTTTATTGTAAATTGGTGCTCTTAACATGATAGTAGTTTCTGAATTCATCATATTAAAAAATAAAACCTTTTATACATGGTGCCTCTTAGAACAGGTCTCTAGCAGAAAGCTTACAATGAGTGGCAGCAAAGCCTTTGTTATCTGATGTAATTCTTCACAAGGGAGGATTGGGAATAGAGTGGCTGCTTTTTTTTGGAAAAAAAAATGTCTAGTTCAGGCTGAGAAGAAGAAAGGGTCAAGTTTGCAATCAAACAGTTATTGCAGAAATGGGTGACTGCCACTGGCTGCGCTAATGTGGTATGCAGCTGTTTGTTATATGAGTAAAAGAATGTTTGAATCAGTGAACATGTGAAAACGGCTCCACTGGACCAGATAATGTGTTTGTTCTTTGACTCTGTAAATTGCCACGAACTAAGCTGCTAAAATCCGGACCTTTCAACAAAGGAAGAAGTCATATATTCTCAGAGAAAAACAGATAAAATTGGTCAGATCATTTCCTTCTCTTGCAGCCCTTGCTTGTTGTTGTTGTTGTCACTTGTAAAAATTGCACTTGCTGTTGCTCTTTACTCACAAGGCAGAGGCGCTCACACAAAATGAGAGCCACTTGTCGACCGTACCGTTGACCCTCTGACCATAACCTCACTACTAAGGATGGAATCCTATGGATTCCAATAAGTCAGCATTGCATTAGTTGCCCATTGATGCTAGGCAAGTTTTAAAAGGGGGGGGTTCTCTTTGGGGTACGTCTCTCTAGATTATACAGGTTTTCCAGGAAACGAACTGGGAATGTCTGAGATCATACAACCGTCTTTCCAGATCAGTCTTTAAAGAGACAATCTCATTATTATTTGCACTGTCCGTTTCTCAAACCAAACAAGTTAGTTTTATGAACTTTGAAAACTGCACAGGCCGAATGCTTTTGGTGAAGGGGAAGAAACGGGCACTGCCATTGCGCTCATGTGCAGAAAAAGACAGTTCCTGTGTTGTGTTCTTAATTTCTGAAATATGTGGCAGGAACTATTCCTGGGCCAGCAGACGGAGAACTACACACCAATATAGGTGGCTGCTTCTCCGGGATTATTCACGGAGGTTATTTTTGCTCCGGAATTGGCAAACAGAATAATTAAAGCTTAATGTTGTAAGAAATGATACTGTCCGTCGTAACTAGTCGAGTAGCTATATCTTCCGCATTTGCCTATAATTTTGGTGTGGAGATAATT